TGAGCCTTTGTGCCTCTGGCACAGGAACAGCCTTGCAGTCTGTACTTGGTCACACACCTACTTTACATAATTTAAAGTCATAGTTCTTATTTACCAGTGTGAACAAGTGGATAATTTCCTTACCTCATGTTCAGTTGCATTTTCTGAGAAAACACCTTTCAATTTCTCATTGTTTTTGTCATATTAACAATACATTCTGAAAACTTAAATAAACTCTCAGCTTTTATAGCTCACTATTGACATAATCCATAACCATACAGAGCTTGAAGCAGAGTCCATTGCAGATCCTATCTCCAGACTCTTGCACAGTGAACAGACCTCTGAGAGGGAAGGGGTGCCCAGAAGATCGTTTGGAGGTATGGGCATCCTGGCTGCCTTCCAAATCAAGGGTCTGAATCATTCCCATCTTCTTTACAGCAGTGATTGGGAAGAACAATCACAGTTTGGCCTCAGTTCAAACTCAGCCTAGCTACTTTGTCACTGATAGCATATACATTTAATGATCTTTACTTGACAAATTAGTTACAAAACCCTTTAATATACTATCAAGAAGAAACATGCCAAAAGAAAACATTAAGGCTGTGAGCTAATTTCAGTCACCACACAAGCCTAGATATTTGCCTTCTGTGTTTGCTAACTGCAGAATAGAACTTACTAACAAATGATCCAAACAATATAACAGACACAAACCAGTGGCTTTGAGGGAGTGCACACACATGCACAATACTTGCAGTCTCACATCAGTATCGTGATATCCCAAAATCTCTGACAGAGCTTTAGATTTGAAACATGCAGTGAAAGGAACATGCTAACACAAGCCTCTACCTTTCCACTGACATCATATAAGAACTATGTAATGGATGTATATCTTTATAAGGTACAAAGGCTTGCTATTTTCTAGTTCTGATCAGTGAACCATACATTTTCTTAATCTTAAATTTTCTGAGATCAAAAAATCTGCAAGCACCAATGAGCAGGTACTGGGCAAATACAAAGTGCACATGAAGATAGGGTTGGATTTGCAGTCAAGCATTTTGGGTAGAGTGTCATGGCAGTTTTATTTAGTAGGCATTTGAGGTAACCAACAAAATTTATTAGAGGAGGAAAGACAAGATTTGCAATGTTAGAAGTTTTCCTGGCAGTGTACTTCAGAAAGAAGAGAGAGTTAAAAAAAAAGCAGTTTATCACATTTTGAAGCAGACTGTTCTGCTGTTGGACACTATTACCGAAATGGCCCATAAATTACACAGCTGTGGTAAGTTACAGTAGAGAAATGTTAACTGAATTTGTGTAACATAATCTTTGATCTCATATCTCACTTCTGACCTTCCCATTCTTGAAGGATAATCCTTTTATTAACGAATGACAAAGTTACATACAAACTCAATCAAAAATGCACCTGGTAAGATTGCTATATTTAAACAAATTAGCAATTTTCTGCTAGCCAAAAATGTTTCACAGAGAAATGACTACGAACCATCTTGAAGCACTTTGAAAAATGTGAATCAGTAGGATGAAAACTTAACTTTTTACACAACAAAAAGGACACAATCACACTAGGGAATGTACCATTCCTTGCATCTATGAGAGGAAGCTAGAGAAAGAATATTGAGGGACTACATATTTGGGAGTAAGAACAAAAGCTCATTAGATTGTATTTTCCAAAGCTATATAGGTTTAGCTGGTTCATGCATTTTAAATCACATTGAAGGCTGCTCAAGTGTGGAATGCTAGAAATAGTCCTAATCATGCTGAAGTTGATGATGCAAGATAATTCCATTGACCATAAGACTTCACAATTCATGACATGGATAAGGACAATCATTTATGCAGCATTTGAAACCATCATAAAGAAAACCCCAACAAAACAAACACAGAAAACCTATGGTAAAATGTGTCAATTTTGCCAAGTTCTCCGAAGTCAAAGAATGTAAATCTAAACTATGGTCAAAAGCACATACTATTTCTCAAGAAAACAATTGAAGACTTTGTAGTATGAGGAAAACAATATATTTTAAGTCTACTCTCAAAAGTGTTTAAATGGTTTCCAGCATCCAAGGGCTCTTGCTGAGGCACAGCCCTGCCAGATGCAATGATCTGGACTAAGAGTTGCCAGACTCACAGAAAACAATTTCTGGTCAGCATTTCATGTAATCAATATGCTAAACCAGATTCAAAATTTTCCTGCCTTCAGCACCTTTAATTATTCTTCTCTCCTCTAGAAGGCAGCAAGTCAAGAGATTATTTATTGAAAGACCAGTGAAATGTTTTCTCATCTGACAATGTTAGTCAAGCTGTGGGTTCCTTTTTAGGCTTTAATGTGGAGTCACAAGCCTTTTTGCCAACTGATTCTGCTTATAATGTTTTTTATACATTTGACTAAACATAAAAAGAACAATAAAAACATATTTGTTGTTGCAGTGGCATCTCACAATGGCACAGATAACCCTCCTGTAAGTGACGTCAGGTAAATGAGTCAAAGGCAATAGATATAAATGCATCCTCCTTTGCATTTATATAAACACTGTTTTCTGACAATCCCATCCCTTTTGTCCATGACAACTCTGGTCAAAACATCTATTTTATTAATAAATGTTGAGGTAAATTGAGTAATTAATGGTTCTTTCTGCCTGGTTATTGAAATGATTGATTTAGAAAATAAGTCTTGGTTGAAAGACATAAGGTGTATGGCAGCACTTGAATTTAAATGTAATTGTTCCTCCACTAGCTTAAGTATTTCTTTTGCCTAAGAATACAGAAACTGCTCTTATTTTTTTGTCACAGGAGAAATGTTCAGTCAGAACAGTTAGAAATAAAAACTTATTACCTTTCTTCTCCTTTTCATTAAATTCCCCTGTGGATTAAGAACTACCATTGTATTCTTGTCTTTATCTGTTTTATCCTGAAAAAGACTGAGAAAAATCTAGTAGATTATCGACATTGAGCTGTTTGAAAGAGCTAGAAATACTGCTCTATTATCACAGCAGGAATTTCCTAAGTGATGAGTTCATCATAGGATGCACAGACAGTCTCCTGGAAGGTAGAATAAAGGCTGTACCTGAAACTCAAAGGCAGTGAATCCTAATCTTGAATTGGTGCCAGGTCATGTTTTGCCAGACAAAGATATTAAAAATGTAATGCCAGTACTAACGAGAGATTTGGCACACAAAACATGAAGAATGTTACAGATTGTGCTGACAGTGTGACACTATGTTTTCCTGGATGTAATCTGGGTATCATGAGAGTAAGCTTGGAGCACTAATGAGAAGAATGATATTGAACTGGAAGAGCTGCTAAATATGCAGTAGCCACAGGGTTCCTGGAGCGAACTGGAACTGAAATGAAAACTGCAATACCGAAAGTAACAGAGGGCAAACTAGGCACAAATACAGAAGGAAGAGAATCTCAGCAGGCAAAACTTGTTTCTGGTACCACGCTTGCCAGGACATAAAGGGCTTTTCTAACCATACTCTGTTTATCCCTGAAGTACTGTTAAAGAGGAGCATGAATCTCGAGCTTAAAGAGGCACATATTTCAGGATATAAATGAGTTTCACAACTGACTGGAGAAAGAAATGTATAGAAGTTGAACAGACAACCTCGTTAGGTGTAAGAACTAAAATACATATTGGAGATAACAAAGATCATCCTCTCTCTTCAAGGTTCCTGTTTTTTTTGCTGTTTCCATTGTTGATTTTTGCTTGCCTCCTATTTGTGTCAGCTACAGTTAGTGAGCCTCATATGAAACGAGTATAAAATTGGATTCTTCTTTGGTCATCTCTGTTGGAAATCTTGGCATCTGCACTACAGGTCTACACAGGAGACATGCACCCAAATAACTCTGACAGTCAACAAAATCTGTGAGTGTGCTAGGTATTCACTTATTGAGATAAAAATCACAAATATATATATATAGCCATTGTAAAAGTGTTACCATCACTAGAACTTAAAACACTGTTATCTAACTCATCTCTTCAGCATGCCAATGAATGTCCTTGTTCAACAATTCTCAGTAGCTTCTCGTGTTGCCTCTGGTATCCTGGCCCCTGTTAAACTGCTAACATCTTTAATTACCACTTATTTTATATATAAAATTTACAACTAAAGTTATACTTAATTTTCCAATTCTCTGAAAGGGGGAGATACAGAAGAAAGCATCAGACAAGCAGGTTTTTGTCTTTACAAGTATGATACCTGAGGGAATAACACCATAACCCTGAAGCTCCATATTATAACTTTGGCCCAGATGCCATTTATTTCCACAGTACTGCAGATTCATGCTGTTCACATGAATGCAGAGAAGAAAGTTTCAAGGTGGAGTACATTTATCCCTTTTCCTTCCCCAGTACGATACAGTTTAATACTATCAATACTTGGAGATAATGCATAATTCAGTTTTTCTTGTATTAATATATAGTACAAGGGAAAAAGAGCAAAGAAAATTTAACCCATGAAGACAAAGGTCTACTCCACACAAAGTAGAGACCTACTCCACCTGAGCCAAGGAAATACACTAAAAAAAACAGAGTTGTTTTTATTTTTTCCCTTCCTCTCCATTGTCAAGTATAGAGATACAAAAAATAGTCCAGCACATTCTTCTGGATTCAGAACTACGTCGAGCAGAAATTACTTCTAATTTTTAGCAACAGGGAACTTGTTTTTGGATGCACCTGAAAAATGTACTGCAAATGAAGATTATTATTATTTTCTGTAAAGATTAAAATAATGATATTTGACTAAAGTAATACATCACTGTTTGCAAACAGCACCAAAAAAAGTAAGTCACAATCCAGAGCAACTCCTACTATCTGTTTCTCCCTGCTATCCTGTATTTTAACTTATTTAATTCAGCCTTTACAATAAGCACACAAAGGAGTAAATCTAACCTCCATTCAGCACAAGGATTAAGCCCAGGAAATAATTTCATAAAGCTCTACAAGAAAAATGACTTAACTGTTGAGGACAATACGGCTCTAATGTGTTTCATAACCAATGCCTTACCGACTGTAAGAGGGTCAGCGCACATGTCACTTCTGTTTTCCTTCCATGCCAGCAGGTACTTGAGGCTGACGGGATCTTCTGCTGCTACATGGCTGTTAAATGCCACCATCAGCTGATGAGCCTTTGCAATGCCACAGTAAGCCTTTGTTTCATCCACTAAGGGCACACTGTTTAAAGTTTTGGCTGCCTCAGAAGCTTGACTGAAATATTCAAAAGCTTCAATATAGTTCCCCTAGTAAAGAAGAGGAAAAAAAAAGAAAAGAATTTTAAAAACTACTTGTAGTCACCTGTATTTTATCTTGACATTAGAGCCTACTCCTCTGGCACCTGAGAGATGTTGCAGTGGAGAGCTCAGCCCATAGAATGACTCATGGCAGGGCATTAAGCAAATCACTCTCCCTTGCTGTTCCTTGACCCCTAAAATCCAGATGAGCATTGCTCATATCTTTCTCAGGAACTGAATTGTTTCTTGGTTATCTGTGCAGTATTTTGAACACACAAATACAAGTATATCAGTGCTTAAGTATTAATTCTGATTCCAGTCAGGCCATTTAGAAATTATCACTATTGTTTCATTACATTCAACATATCTGCGGGAGGAAAGGTCCTAATTTATGGTGGTACTAAATTTTAGAAAATAAATCCTAAAAATGGAAAGAAAGAGAACAATTAAGTGATAGACCTATAGCACTGAAAAGAACAGAAATTAAAACCTACACATTTTTGGGTGAAGAAAAGGGCATACCAAACCCCAGGGATTACTCCTAATCACAAAAAAGAGAAATAGTAGGAGAAATGTATGTCAACTGTTGCTAAATAAAAAACCCAAATAATTTCTCTCTTTATCCTACAGAATACAAAAATCCAACATTTATGAATCCAGTAAAAAGGAGTATAAACTACAGCAGATAATACATTAAGAAGAACTAAAAAATAAAACAAGAACTATTTTTTATGTGAAATATAGGAGAAAAACCCTTCTCAAATTCTTGATCAAAGGGAAATAAAAAGAAAACTAGGGAAAATCATAGTAGGATGAAAAGCTAAAATAGTTATTGGCATATTTATTCATCTCTTGCATATTTTTTCTTTTCCATGAATCTACTTTGAGTAAGCATCAGAGATGGAGTGAAAAGAAGAGCTGGAAGAGCGAGCTTCTAATTTAAAATGTAACATACCACCTGACCAAAACAAAGCTTGAAGAAATCTAAAGATGAAGAGGTTAAATTGCTGGGAAATAAGTAACATCTCTCACTAAAACTAGGTAGTATAATCTAGCCTTGAAAAGTAGTACATTTTACATTGGTATTACACAATGGTATGACAGTGGATAGTAGCTTCATGTTCTAGTGTTGGTTTTGTCTAATGTTTAATTATTATAGAAAAAATCAGATGACAAGTTTTTCAAGTTTGTCAAAAAAGGTAAGAAAGGAGGGTTTTTCAAGGCTTTGAGGAATTTCAAAGGGACCTAATAATACTATCTGAGTGGTTATGTGATAGCAAATGACATGAATTCTTTAGAAAATGAGAGGTATTTCATACTGCCTGAACTATTTAAAACTTTTAGTGGGTTCTAGTTTACTAAGGCTCAGGAAAGTCACCTTGAAATAACATGCCCAGTTCTGCAGTGGCTTCTCCTAAATTCAAAACTGCTCTAATATCTGGTAAGGTCAAACAAAATATTAGCATGCATCAAGAATGCAGGGGAGAAAGATGGAAGTTCTCTGTAAGAGGAATCTGGAAAAAAAAAAAGCATTTGGGGGTAGTATAAGTCAAAAGGGGTAAGTAGTCTGTTCAGTATATTACACATAGAAATTATGACCAAAATATAGACAACAGAGGTTAGAAAGGGCGATTTTGAAAGGGTATTTCTATTTTTATTTTATTCAAAGTGAAAGTGTTTCCTAATTTCCACATTGTCCAGTCTGCAGAACAAATTCTTGTTACTTACCATATTTAAATAATTTTGTGCAGCATTTCAGCTCTAAAATAGGTGTTAAAGGGCTCAGCATGAATCTTTCACTTCTGCAGTAATGTTTTAACCCTTGTGATTTCAAAACCCAAGGGCTACTGCAGTGCAAGCACTGCATCCCTAGACACGGTAAGGAATACAGTAAGCATGGAAAATGCTACCCAGACAGGCAGCCAACAGAACTGTTCTGAGACTGGCACATGGGTCTGAAAGAAGCACTTCAAAAAAGAATTTAGACACTATGAAAAAGGGAGTGTCTTAGTTACCTCCAGCTTAATATTTTCCATCCCTGCCTACCTATTGATTCAAACGGGCCAAATCAAAGATGCATGGAGGTATACAGAAGAGAAAGGTCTTCCACTACTAGCACAGACCTTTGACAAAGTCTTTGCTGCTAGTACCCATTTCATAAATTTGGCTGAGAGAATGTAGACAAGAAATCAAGCTAAGATTAAAAATGGCTTATTAGTATGCAATGCAGCATACATTAATGTATATTGCAATAAAATTTCATTTGCACTAACTGATGACTCTTTATGGGCACGTATAGCCTCAATGGTAATTTGGATACAGATTTTTCACAACACTGGAGGTTTATCACAATCTGAATTTGGAGGTTTTATTCATCTATTCTAAAAACAATACCCTAAGTGTTAAATATGGTGTGAAATTCCCACCTTTTCCAAAAAAATTAAGGCATATTTTATTTAGTCAAACAGTGCCTTCTCATCTGGTAACTCTTGTAAAGCAGTACCTTGATCAAATCCTCCTGGGTCATCTGACAAGCAAAATCAGTTTTTTACCATGAAGTAAACCAAATTGCTTGAGATCATTATGCAACGAGTACTTACTCTTTCATTGTGAACTTTCCCAAGTAATACATTTGCATCCAGCACGCTTTGGCTTAGGTGAGCATTCTCAGCATCCTTTATAAACTTTCCCAAGTACTTCAAAGTTTCAGCTGACTTCCCCTGACTGAAGAAAAGGACAGGGACAAAATTAAATATTTACTCAGATGGCTTCTCCAAATGCTGAAGACCTGTCCCTTTGTTCTGAGGTAACTTGACTTTGTGATGACTCATCCATGACTTAATTTTATTTCCAAATGGCCTCTAGCACTACCTGTGCTGAGCCCAATGAGATTAGTCCACACAGAACGTCTGAGGGCAGAACTGAATCCTTTCAACAAAATATAACAACATTTTTCTTCAGAATATTGGGCCATATTTTAAATCCAAGAATGAAAGCGCAGGTGATGATTTAACAGGGATTTTGAACTTTTCATTATTTTAATTTTTTTTCTACTGAGAAGATGATAACGTTTTCAACACAGGTGGACCTCACATCCTGACAAAACAAGGGAAGGAGGTAAGAAGGCTGTTTTTTCAGTAAGACTTTTTGTGCTGCTGTCATTTAGAGCTGCCATTTCATGCTCTAGAACCCTGGTGGCGCAGCAGCAGCTCCATAACAGCGCTGTCTCTCAGTTCTGGGGGTGACAGCCTTTCCCTGAGTGTAATACTGCACTTTGGCTGGGTGCATCAAAGGTTGCCAGGGTCACACAGGCAAACCTATAAAGTATGGATTGCAGGTGCCACCCCCAAATCCCAGTGAGATTAGAGCAACCTGAGGTCACAGCTGAATCTAAGCTGAAAATTGGCTAATGTACTTTGACAATAACACTTGCAGATTTCCCTTTTTTTAATAAAGCCACTCATATTAACAATATAAGACCTCGGCAGTGTGATTGCAAGATGTAAGATGGACATCTGTGGTTGCTTGTGAGTAAGGCACTGTGCTCTTTTCCCTTTAAGGCTGAAGTGTTACTCCAGCTGACCTCAATATTAGCCATGAACTTGAGTCACTAATGTAGGAGCGTAGCATGCTAAATGTCAAGGCACCAAGCAAGACAGAAAATCCAGTCTTAATTAAGAAATACACAGAAACAGAAGTTTCTGTAAATGATAAAGAGTTGTGATTTATTTTCTCACCATTTTAAACCACTTTCAAGTTATATTTCTGCAGCAAATGACTGCCTGGCATTTACTTACATTACAGTTTTTATTATAAACTATATTAGGAAGATGTGCTTTCAAAGTCTGGTAGAAGTCTGCAATTCCCTGTTTTATGCTGTCAGAGTAATTATAAAGGGTAGAGCCTGCCCTGAAACAGGAAATACAGCAAAGCTTAGCTGCAAATTTACAATATTGCAGTGACTATCTGTATGTGACTGAGATGGGTGAGACTGCTACAAAAGGATGCTAAAACATTGCAAAGTAACATTCTTGAAATGTTCAAGTAAATGAGTAAATGCTATTGTAAAGCCTAGTTGTCAATAAGCAGACTTGGATTTATTAAATTTCCCTAATTTAAGTATTTTAATACCATGAGAATACAAAAAAACCCCGGACTGTAAACATTTGCCAAATGTCAAAAGGCTTCTAAATTTTAGAATTAGAAACACATATTTTTTAATCTTTTTTTTTCCTAAGAAGAGAAAATCAAATGTTTCCCTGCAGAAATACAGAATATGATTTATATAAGTTAAAGGACAAGGTTAAAGTGTTAGACAAATATTAATTCCAGTTTTTCTAGTTTTCTATATGCAGTGCACAGGTGCAACTTGAAGAGCATATTATATGGTATAATCATTAAATCCATTCAACCAGACCTTTGAGAGTTAAAAACATATATTCTGAGGAAAAGGACTCCTTGGTCCAAGGAATGAGAATGAAACAGTGCAGAATATTTGTGTATCAAGGTGATTCCAGTTTCCAATTGGGAAAACAGGACTGTTAACACCCACATCCCCTGACAACTGTCCAATTATGTATATCACACTTGGCCTACTGTTTGCAGTAGAAGTAATCAATAAAGGATGTGGTTGAGTGAACATAGATTTTGGTTGAACCAATGCATGAAAACTTAATCATTTACTCAGAGTGGAGAAATCAAATAGAGCAGAGATGAAACAGCCACTAAGGGGTTTGTTGATTGTGCCACCAAGTTTGTGGGCTAGAGGCTGAAAGTAATAAAGCAAATGGAATCAGTGACAGGAGAAAATGTAAAAAGGTTTTCTTAATTTCATGAATTAATAGAAATGTTTTGATGTATTTTTGGCCATTTTTTATATTTCACATAAAAACCTATGCTCCACATATAGAAAATATGAAAATTGCTAGGGCATATAACCTCTTTCAGGAAAACAGAAACCAATTTGATACATATCAGAAAGGTATTTCTCACTCTTAGAACTCCACTTATGCCAGCCAGCAATTGGTTGGTACAGTTTGACAATTTTTTAAAGGAAGTACTTCCAAGAGCACTGCAGCTTGAGATATTTATAGTATGCTAGAAGGATTACTGATACACTTTATCCTGCACAGGATATGATAACATGATAAACAGGTCTTTCCTACTCAAAGGGCTAATACTTTATAGTTCCTTCGAAAATCTACATGTTATTTTATACAGCCATATACTTTCTATCTCCTTAGACATCACCTTCCTAAATGCATAAAATGTAATTTCCTAAAGATATAGTCATTCATGATCCCACAGAACAGTTATGATGACTTCAGCAGAAGAGATTACACATCTACAGCAACTCATTTTCCAGTTTCATGCTAAAATGCCCTATGAGATTTTTACCCCTATTAGACTTTTATGAAAATATGCACCTTTTATAGGATTGCTCATGTGATGGAATTGGATGTATAAATCATATGTCCACTAGAAGTCATTACCATGGTGGACACTGGTAGAATAAGTCAAGAACATGATGCTATTATGTCAGATTTTTTTCCCTGGAAAATGACATGCCTAAATGCACATGATAGAGATTTTCAGTTTCCTGTGGTCTCTGGAAACATCTGTAGCAAAGATTTCACAAAATATTCCAAAGCCACAGACAGATTCTGAGCTATTCAGGAGGGCTCAGTCACTTTCTCCAACCTGTCACAAGGAAATCAGTGCAAATTCTCATAGACGTTATGGCTATAACACATTATTTTTGTGAAACGGCCATCTTTTCTTTGTAAAGACATTATCCATAAAATTTAAAATTAGTTGCACAGGTCTAATCTAGATCAGGTACAAACACAAGTAAAGAAAAAGTGAACAAGCTGAATATGGAGATTCAGTCAACCGCAGCGACAGAATAAATCAATGCATTTATCCAATATGTACTATGTCCAGCTCTGGAGTTCTCAGCACGGGACAGATATGGACCTGTTGGGTGCAGAGGAAGCCACAAAGATGATCAGAGGACTGGAGCACCTCTCCTGTGAGGACAGGATGAGAGGGTTGGGGTTGTTCAGTCTGGAGAAGTCTCTGTGGAGACCTTACGGTATCTAAAGTGAGCTTATAATAACGACAGGGGCAAATTGTTTAGCAGGGCCTCTTGCAATAGGACAAGGGGTAATGGTTTGAAGGAGGTTTGATTTATATTAGATATAAGGGAGAAATATTTTACAATGAGAGTGGTAAAACATGGCAACAGGTTGCCCAGAGAGGAGGTAGGTGCCCCGTTCCTGGGAACATTCAAGGCCAGGCAGGATGGGGCTTTGAGCAACCTGTTCTAGTTGAAGATGTCCCTACTTATTGCAGGGGGGCTGGACTAGATGACCTTCGAAGATTCCTTCCAACCCAAACTATTTTATGACCCTATCTTTCTATCATTCTATGATTCAAAGCTGCCCAGACTCTTCCACATACAAGTTTCTCAAATAACTGAAAGTTGCTGAGAATCATCATGGCATTTTACAGGGTTGAGCAGTTAATGCCTATCATATACCTAAAGCTCTTCAAAGCCAGTACATATGTAAGGTGTTTGATTTGGTAAATGTTCTCATGGCACAACTACCAGATGTGTTTTTTAAAAATATGACTGCCATTTTTCAGAGAAAGGGTTTATGTTTGGGTCTTCACCTGTGCAATAGATTAGCAGTTAAATCCCTGATCCTATACATGAAATTGAGTTCCTCCTTCACTTGAATCAATCAGAACATTCCTCTTCTAGGAGAATGCCTTAAATACTAAACTGGAGAGTCTTACTGCTCCTAGTACTCCCTCTTATGGCTCCTTACCTACTGTTTTCCCTCTTTTTCAAATTACAAACTGGAAAGCAGTGAGACTGTCCATTCCTGGGTAGCTAAAGAATGTTGCCAGAAAGTGTGGAGTACAGATTTGATGCAGCAGAAAAATCACTAGTCATTCCTTTTTAAGATAAGAATTTGGATTGGTATGGTCTATTGGATGAAGGATTTAGCAAACTGACTTCAAAAGGATCACCAAATCTGTAAGTTCTGAGTAAATAAATGTATATGCCCTCATTACAGAATGCCTAAATCACACAGGGAGGAAATTAATATACATGGTTTACTAGGAGTGTTCTCTTGACTATCTCAACCCACCCTCTACCCAGACTGATGCTTTCCCTGAATACAAGGAGCCCATGAATGCTTCTGAGAGCTCAGACAATGCTGTACTCATTGCAAAGCCACTCTTTGTAACAGATGGTTTTCTAGCAACCAAATCTTTCTTGGTTAGGCTTAAGATGGTGTTGAAAACTAGTTTTGACCTCGTATTCTTAGTCTGTTCTGTGTCTCTTTTAGTATCTTATCCCATATCCTTATTTAGGATGCTCAGAATACGGGTAGCCACGAATTATGTATCAGAGAGCTGAAAACAACTGTGGCTGTGGCTGGCTCCTTTATGCTCTGAAAGGCCAAGAGACAAGGGGTCCAACTCAAAGAGGAGAATTTGCTTTGCACACTGAAATACACCTGGTGACAAGTCCTTCTCCATAATTTGCCAACCTCTATCATGCATCATATGCACTGAAGTCCCCAAACACAGGATGAATCAAGAAAGAGCTGAAACCTTCATTTTAGTCTCTTTCTACTCCGACTTCATAGGATAATGGCATTAGACTACTTCATGTCGAAATCATTTGTTTCAGAAGTTGAAATAGTTTCAAACTATTTCACCTGGAAAAAGATTTTAATGCCAGATGCTGAAACAAAAATACTGAACACAAGCATCGTATTTGCAACAAATGTAGTTAACACATGCACAAACAAGAAATGTCTTCATAGAAGAAACTTACAGTTCAGAACATATTACACTGATACACCTACTGAAGCTGGATACATTCTTCAACTCTTCCTGTCTTTTTAAACCTGGAAAATAGGCTTGCATTTCTATTTTCAGTAAAATCTCTCCTAAACTTGTGGGGGGAAAAAAAACCCCAATAACTTAAAAAGCCCCCAAAATGTGGAATAAAAAGGACATGTTATAGTTTACAGGTAAAGAAAAGCTAGGACCACACACTTAAAAAAATGTGTACCAGTTTAAAATAACTTTCGATGAAATGGTCACTTACTGCAAGAAGGGCACTGCTTAAAATTTAAGCAGTCAGTAATGGGAAGCGACAGACCTCTAACAATTTAAGTCTTTCACAGTTGAATGAATCTGCACTGACAGTCAGACAAGGATGTGCTAACCTACCTTGCCAGGATCTTGGCTGCAGCTGCATATGCTCTGCCCAGGCCAGCAGAATCACGAAGTGCTGTGAATATTGCTAAAGAGGTGTTCAAAATCTGTGAAACAAGAAAATAAGACCCAGTAAATACCATGATAAGAATTTCCACTTTTTTTCTTCCCCCCCCCCCCAATCTCTCTGTCCATATGGAACACAAAATTAAAGCTTTTCCCCTTCTACAACTGTTCTCTAAATAGCCATAACGGGACTAGGGTTTTGAGCATTACTTATAGTTGTTTGAAACCACTCAATAATTACAAATCAGAAAAATGCAACTTGCATTCCATTTAAATCTCCGTATTTTGGCAATTTGCAAAAATCAAAGAGGTACTACCTGTTTTGCAATATAAATTTCACTATCCATAATTTAAACTAATTTAAGAGCCTGTGCTTTTATGAGTTTCTGATAATATTTTAGGAATGGTATCCTTTGCATTCACAGTGTTTTAGAACGATATGCTGAAATACAACTTAGTATTTTCTTTCTTTAATCTGCCACAAATTATTTTAGTACAATTCAGATGCCCAAAAACGGACTTAGAGTTTATACATTTAATCTATGTTGCCCTAAAGTACTGTAGATAACACTGTTATTTTTCTGAGTAATTATTCACACACAAGCAGTTGGCTAACATTAATTTGGAATGTACTCTATTATTATGAACCTTCCCATAACTGAAGGCTTACAGCTGCTGCACAAAAACATATGATCTTAATTCAATTTAGCACTGACATCACCTGTATTGCAGAATTTCTTTTCTCATCCATTTTTTTTTTCAATGGTGATGACGGGAGAGTGCATATAAAATTAAATCTTATTCTTTCCCCCCTCCTCTTTGTTGCTTGACCCAATCTATTACACACATGAGAAAACAGGAAATCTCCAAAGACTCTCTATGGAAATCCTTTTTGCACATTTCCAAGAAAGGAGTAGTGAATGTCATTTACCAACTCTGAAGGGGGATGGGAGATGCTCAGGGAGATATGACAGTATCCTGCATGCCCCAAGATGCCTATTTATACTGAGGTAAAAGATAGGGCATTTTCTATTAAGATTGCATCCCTTGTCATTGGCAAAGTGCATGGTTCAAAAGAAGACAACCTGTGTGTGCTAATGCTAGAGATGTCACTATTTCCATCATTATTTCCCACTGCTCAGATTTTCTAGTTCTTGAAAGAGTTTTACTACGTGCAGGAGTATCCCTGGACGTGGCTCTTATTTTTTAGCTATATAAGCCCCATGTGGACAAAAAGTAGCACTTATTAATGTGCACTGTCCTATTTATCATCCTTCAAGTACTTTCTTATCAGTCGTGTTCTCATGTACATCAGCATTGCATCCTATACTTGAAGGTCATTGCCAATTGAGTTATCAATGCATCAGACATGACAAAAAGAGTGCAAAAGGCACCTCAGTTAGGAAGTTGTCACATCAGCTCAGAACTCACCCTAAACTGAATGCACACTTAACATTGTCAGGGCCCACAGTGCATCCTTCTAATAACCCAGGATGGTAACAAAAATGGACACAAGTGTCCAAAAAATCAGTTCTTAGTATTGCATTTGACTCAGGGGACCTACAACATTTGTTGTAATAATTGTGCTCATATTAGAAAACCTGCCATAAGAGTGTCAGGAGGTCTCAAAAATGCTATGTACTGGACTGAAATCATAACTAGTTTTAACTGGCCTCTACAATATTAACTAGGACACAGGTCCTCTAGTCATTGCTATCTAGCACAGAAAGGTTACTCAGGCACCTAAGGCTTCAGCTACTGTACATTTTGCTTCTATCAAAGATATCACAAAGCCTAAAAAGTACAGATAAAACCAAGGAAAAACCATACACAGAGTAGCTGAAGTAAAAAGTTGGTTCACTGCATCTCTGCAACAGCTGCAAGAAAGAAGTAAATAAATAAAACCTCTCATTCATATTGATGAGAAGTGCTCATTTTGGTCCCAGGTTACTGCTACTGTACACAAATCAGATATTTCATTCTAAACAATGATGAAATAATAATACGTAAAACATTTACATAAAAGGGAGGAAAACTTGATAAATTACACTAGAAAGTGTACTCTTTGTGTCTGTATTTCAAATGACTCCTCCAGCTTCAGAAAATATGCAGGGACACAGAAAGGGACACATGCTTGATGGAAAGGAGCTGTGTAGTGCCCCTGTATGCTACAACTGCCCAGTATCCATTTATGTGTAGGAAGTAAAGAGGGATTCCTCACCTATGGTGCATACCTGACCTTCAATATTCAGGATACAAAGAAAAAAGAAAAAGAGAGAGAGCAGGATAAAATGCTGAGTTAACACATAAGCATTAGAGGATTTCACCCAAAGTCTCTTGCAATTAGAGCACACTTTTCATTTTCATTTAAAATGAAAAACTATAAAGCTTGCATTCTGGCAAATCAAGTAGAATTGAGAGAGAAGCTGCCAGAATCTGTAAACTGCCTGAAAACAACAAATGGACAAGAAAATTTCCCTGTTTATTTTTATGGGACCCAAACAACCAGTCCATCTAACACAGTTGATATAATTTGGATCTAATGGAATTTATAGTTTCCCAATGAAAGTTTTCCTACCTTTAGATAGAAGCATAGCTAGAAAAGGGTATTTTATATATATATTTTTTGGCCAATCTATACAGAGGATGGTGACATCCAAGAAAGAGGTGGAACATGTTAATACATAAGAATCTATACCTGTAATGTACACTAAAAACAGTGAGCTTGGGAATTGCACAAATTTAGCTGTATTTCCTTCTCAAAAGTTAGACAAAGTTTTCAGAGATTTAGAGTAACTGAAGAGTCATAAGGTCTTTCTTTTCTTTATATTTTGTTATGGTTTGTTGGGTTTTTTTAGAATTAACTATGTACAAAGAGTTCTGAGGAAGGAAGCTATTGCAATATATTTATCCTGATCATACACATAACATTATTATAAAATTTCTGTTTCAAAGAGAGTTTGAAACAGAACTCTAGCAACTAGTGGGAAAAAACTATTGTATAGGAAGTTGAAAAGGTTAGAATAATGTACAGTTCTTTCTACCCCTATATAAAAACTGCACTGATTGTGGTCACGAATTAGTTTTTGGCTCTGTGTGACCAATCACACTGATTATCTCAAACTTTTGACTTCTGAGGGTCTGCAGTGGAAATACTAGTTTACAAAAACCAAATAACATGAAAACCAAAGTCTAATACAAAAATGAGTTTCCGATCACTTTTTCTCATCCATGCAGGAGGTGGGAAGGTGGCAGGGTGAAGGCTTCAGCTTTGTCTTCTGTGTAATAGTCAACTGTCTCCCACATGCCATCCACTGTTACTTTGGTGTATGTAGGGAAAAAAAAAAAGAAAAAATAAAAAAAGGAAAAAGTTGCCTTTATGGTTCAAAAATAGAAATTTAAAAAAAAAAATTAGAATGTATTGTACAATTTCCCTGGTTTTCTTGCTTAGCACTAAAAGGTGGAGGCATGTGCACCTGGGAGGAGGAGAGCTACTGTGGGAGCATCCATTCATAAAATCAACTCTCTTCCTGGGTTTTTGTAAGACTCTTGTGTCTACAATTAGTTACAGTGTAAAAATAAAATAATGAGCTCTGCTTAAACCCTCAAACTAGAGCCTATTTATGGTATAGCTCTTGCACTAATTCTCTAGCTAGTGGTGAATTTCATATTTACCTCCTCTGCCAAGAAAAATATTAGTCAGATCTCAGGTCCAGATTTACTTCTCAGTCATCTCAGCATTATGCCATGTGACTCTCCTGGGGTTATTCCATTAATGTAAAACAGACACATCAGGTCCTCCCCCAAGGCCCCCCCAACCCCAAAATCCCACCCTTTATTTTTTATTGTTGTCACACCTGCACTTCTTTTATATGTACATAAAAACATATGCACGCACCTCATTAATACACACTGAGGACTCAGATAAAAGGACAGAGGTTGTGCTAAACATTCATACATCTGGGGATAATGGACAAAACACTAAAATCGAAAGTATGAATTTATGTTGAATACAGAATGTCTATCCAACTCAAGATTAATGCTGCTACTACTGTTCTGGAAAAATATATTACTCTGCCAAAAGCACAATGAGATAATATCAATTTATAATACTGTAACCTTAAAAAACACAAACCCATAGATTTGCTCTCAGCTTTCCACTTGATATTGTTGTCAAACTTTATTGGAAATACCTTTATTTTGATTTCTGAAAATCTAGCTGTGTTGAGCCATTTCACAGCTGGTGAGCAGTAAAGATGCTTCTGCCTCATTTACAGATCTTGAACATGAATCAGACAATCAGCAGGAACATTAGTCAAAGAGATCACCAGCTAATGATTTCTGACAGGCACTGCAGACTCAGGCCAAGGCCCAGCCTGGCTCGCAGCATCTGACAGTATTTTTCTGAAGCCAACAATAGGTGTTGCAAGACAGATAATGCAATGAAGTGAGACTACTGGCCTCATACCACTCAGTACCTCTTAAATACTTTAAGAAAAAAACCAAATAGTTCTGATGGTCTCTAAAACATCACTTTGATGCAGCCCAGTGACAATAAAAGACAACAGAACTGTATGCATAGGCATTCTGCAGTTCAGTGAACTCTGCCCAGTCGCTCCATAAAAAAAAAGCATATTTAGAAATTACTAAAAATTTCAGTGTTTATAACCATAATGTGAGTGGTTACATGCCTGTGGCCATGCTGAGTAAGAAAAGTTTCACAACAGAAACCCAGATGTATTCTTATTTTGGCCAGAACAGTGTAGGAGAGGTTGGACAGCAATAAGAAAATTGTATTGTTTCATGTAATGCATTGATTAAAATGAGCAGAGCTCACCGATCCCAGGAAAATCCTGCACCAATATCACCTGAATGGCAGGCCACACCTTGTTAAATGCTAAATGTACTCAGGTATAGTGAGCATCCAGAGTGGAAGCAATACAGCATTCTCTCTGGAACATGCAGTTAAGGGATACAGAGACTGGATGCCCCACTGGGGAAAGAGGGAGCAACCCTTGATTTGCCAGAACTTTTAGTTCTC